TTTACAATGTTAAAAACAGCTGTATATGGTGCAGCAAGGTGTCAGCAATGATGCACAGCCTTTGGATTTTGGAATATATTGCTGTAACTATGTTTTATTAACTTTTATCAATTTTGAATTTCAGTAGCATTTCAGCTGTATTACACCAAACACTACAAACAATTGTATATGGTGCAGTTAAGTTTCAGCAATCATACGCAGCTTTTGAATTTTGAATGTACTGCAATAATTACTTTATATTAATATTTGTATTTTAACCTTCAAAAGCATTTCAGCTGCATTAATTGCAGTGAATGCTGCGTTTTGAACCTAAGCAGTATTTTAGCTACATTATATCCTCAAGTAAAATTCAAAGTTTGTGTGTCATTACTGAAAAGTATCTGCACCAAACACTGCTGATTTAAATGTTCAAAGTCTAAAATGTTATCGAAATTCAAAATGAAAAAAATGTAAAAGATTTAAAACTTAAATCTGACTCAGTGTTTGATGGATTTAAAACACGTTTGATTTGCAATTAGATCCACTTAAATAAGACGTTTTCTTTTCTACACTCTCATTTTTAAAACTAATATTTTAGATGGTTAAGGATCTATTGAACCTTCAAGACTGCTAATGTCTGACGATTACTGAACCTCCGTTATCAAGCTAACTAGCTATATCAGTATACAGGTAATATCAGTTTTTACAGGTAAGGTATGCTCAGTACTGTTAGGACAAGTATTGGCAAGTACATTTTAGTTACAGGTTAATTCAAAGTCCTTTTTCTAAATTAAAGTGGTGTGAATTTCTAACCATAATTTAGAGCAAAAACACAATTAATCAGATGTGTATGGACACAGTGTTTACGGAGCTATTGACGTATTATCGTCTGACGGTGTCTATTGTTAGCATGAACAATTAAAATATGTATTTAAATGCACAGAAACGCTTTGGAGGAAAACAAATGCGTGTGCATGGATGTAGGCGTGGTCTAGAAGTGCATGCTTTTTCTTCCGATTGAAAAACTTGTCTCAGTTTTATGGTATTAACACAAATAGAGTGGTACGTTAAATGTCACCCAAACTGCAAAAGCACACGTGTCCTTTTAGTCTTTACTGACTACCGTAGTCCGATCAAATGTTATAAGCGCCGAAAAGACGAATATAGAACATAAAACTAACTTTACCGTGGTACATAAGGGTGCATATCGTTTCTGGCTCTTCTAAAGCATTTGAGCGCTTGTGGAGTGCAGTAAAAGCCTTTTCAGTGTATCCAAACGCCTAAAACCACGATTTCATGATTGTACAGGTTTAGTCACCCAAGTTAAAGTAGTGTATTCTTTTTCATGAAAATGTGATTTTAGGTCGGTTCCATAGCAGAAATTAAGCAGAAATGTCTGGTTATTATCATTATAATGTTTTCACTTAAAAATAATACTGCAGAGCAGCCCTGGCTTTTACAAAACATTTGAGCGCTTGTGGGGTGCAGAAAACGCCTTTTCAGTGTAACCAAACGGCTAAAACCACATGAATGATTTCATGATTGTACAAGTTTAGTCACTCAAGTTATAGTAGTAGTATTCGTTCTCATGAAATTGTGATTTTAGGTCGGTTCCATTGCAGTTGAAGGGTATTTTGTAGCAGAAATAGCTATAACAGCTATTTATTACAGCTATTTCTGTTATAAACAGCTATACAAAGCGTTTGAGCGCCTAAAACAACAAACGCCTAAAACAACGATTTCATGATCCCAGCAAACACACAACGTTGTCTGTTTTCTTACAACGTTGTCAAAAGGCGGTGCTGTTTACGTTGTCTGAACAAGGTTGTCACGACGTTGTCACAACCTCATTATTCAGTAAGGTTGTCAGGTATTAAAACTACCTTTTGGCAACTTTGCAGAATTCCATGGAGCTCCATTCACAACGTAAGCCCAGTTCGGACAGGATCAAATTTACACGGGGTCCTGGGGTGATTTTCTTCTTTCACGGGTGCTCCTGTGATTTTATTTCTGTCCGAATTGGCCCTGTCTGTGTTTTTCTCCCCACCTTCTGAGAACATTACAGGCCGAATTACCTACTGTTTCTCAGTGAACTCAGCGCTGCTCTGATCATTTTAGCCCCACTGTGTTTTTACAGGCAGACGTTGGAAAAAAAAGGTCTCCGAGAGCGCTTATCCACTAGAAATACTCCCCAGATAGCAGAAGTACATTGATTCAATGCTGAATTACGGTTGCATTTTGTTGTTTAACGATGATGGAAAAATAACCTACATTCAACATTAAACAGACCTACGTGGTAAATAGTTAACAATGAAATTCTGACACTGAATTAATGTGTATATGTAACGGCGTACAATAGTTGTATTAATGTTGTGTGGCACCACCTGCTGGTCGGTCAGCGTATCACAGCTCCTATATATATTGGTGATTCGGTGCAGCCTCGGCAGTAGAGCGTGTGCACGCTGCCGTGGTGAGTGCAGCTTCGTATGTTCAGCTCAGCAAAACTGCAAATAACTATGTAAAGTGTTTTAATATTCGACTTTTTTTACAATAAAATTTGTGCAAGTGAAAATTGAATTTAACATGTAGAAATTATTACATGTTCTAATGTTAATTATCTTGATTTGCATGTGGATGTGAAGGCGGAGATAATCTGGTTTGTGCTTTTCTTAAAGAGACAACACCAAGTTCCACGTACATTGTAAAATTTAGTTTTCGGGAAAAAATAGTAAAGCTTGTACTTAACAGATCTTGCAGCATATTTAAAAAATACATTAAAAAAAGCTTTAAAAACGTGAATGTTTCACAACACTTTAAATGAAAGTGCTCCTGTCTCCTCTGTGACGTACGTGCACACACGACGAGGCCATACTGCTTCAGCGTAGACTACTGTTAAACTCTGGCAATGGCGGACTTAGTTCTTGGGAAGATTATGAGGAGAGTCAGGCTAATAGAAAGAAACTTCCAGCAAGGCAGCAATGGAGGCCTGCGCGATGTTGGTATTATTTATTCTCTCATTGCTAATCTGTGTCGTATTGAGCACCATTTGAACCTTGAAACGTTCACAGAGTTGTTTGAGTGTCTGACTGCATTACAGTCTTCCATAACTGCTGATGTGCCAACTACTTCATACTCTGCTCAGCGTAGTAGCACCGGTATGCATTAAACAACCACTATGCAGGCCTACTGCATTAATTCAAAATACTTCTCTGATTAGTTCTGTAACTACGCTTTGAACATTGCCTGTGTTCAGTGTGTTGCTCGCATTGGATATTTCAGGCTCCCGTGGAAGACCCAGAATAGATGTATCAAGAGAACAACTGGAACTTTTATTGAACCAAGGATTTAAGGCGAAGGCGATGGCACGGCTTCTTGGTTGCTCGTCATCCTTCATTTATAGAAAACTAAGATCTCTGGGCATTTCCATTAGACAAAGATTTACTCCGATCAGTGACCGTGATCTCGAACAGCTCGTAAGAACGCTACATCAACAACATCCCAGGTCAGGTTGTGAGGTAAGAGGCTGAATTCTTGCAGTTAAGCCATCCATTCGAAAATCTGTTAACCTTCTATAGGAAAACGTTGCCTAGTTAATGTATGTCTAATTTTGAGAACTGTCCTGGTAGATGATGAGGAGCTATCTTTCTGCTGCGGGTATACAGGTTCCTCGACGTCGAGTGCGCGACACGCTGAACAGAATCAATCCCGCAGCAGCTGCGCAAAGGTGGATCAACGTTATTGCAAGGCGCACATATCATGTACCGTTTCCGAACAGTCTATGGCACATCGACGGACACATGCGCCTCATACGGTAAAATTACGTGTAATTTAATTCTGTTCAATGAATTTGGCATTTTTGTGATGATGTAATGATAAACCCGACTCTTAAAACACTCACGTCTGTTTTCCCAGCTGGGGTATAGTGACGCACGGCGGTATAGACGGATATTCACCGGTTATCACCTACCTGACCGCCAGTACAGACAACACTGCCCAGACAGTTCTGGCTCACGTTGTTAGGGCAACCTGTCGGTACGGACTTCCCTCAAGGGTCAGATCGGATCAAGGGGGTGAAAATACACTGGTAGCACTGTTAATGAACCTGCTGAATGGGGAAGGACGAGGTAGCCACATTACTGGGCTATCAGTCCACAATCAACGAATTGAACGCCTCTGGAGGGATGTGTTCACACATGTCATCCATTACTATTACAAGTTATTTTACTCTTACGAGAATGAAGGCCTTCTGGAACCAGACAATGAAATCCAGAAATACTCGCTCCAAACAGTGTACCTGCCAGAAATTAGAGAGAGATTGAACACTTTCAGAAATGCATGGAACAACCACAGCATGAGGAGCGAAAATTATTGCACCCCTAACCAAAAGTGGCTGGAGGGCATGGTTGGCAACCAGCTAGTAGACAGTACTGCAATCAGCAACGTTTTTGGTGAGAACCCATACAGTGAGGACAACTTGGAAACACTGCTAGCACAACATGGTGTGCAGCTAGAGCAGTTAGAAGCCGAAGAAGAGGTCTTTGACCAGGCAGTAGTGGTGAGGCGACCACACATCCACCTTAACGAAGAACAACAGCAGATTCTTCAGGATGTCCTCACAAGAATTGCAGATTTGAAAGACAAATATTTAACTTGCTGTAGGGAGAACACCACTATGCTTTCAGCCTAATGCTTTCTGACATTTTGCTAAAAAAAGCCCAAAAAAGATTGTACAGTATATACACAACATCAATGTGTAGTTCTTGTTAGGATGTAAACACAAAGCAGACTGAAAATTTCCCTTTTTTTTTTTTCATGTAAAACACACTACATAGAGAAGCCATGCCATTTACAACAGCAAAGATTTATTAAACTGTTGTTCTTGTAACTGTAATGCACCAACAGAAACTGTTCCAAAGGTGATTACAATACTAAAAATGTCAAACGTAAAAAAGAAACTAAAACTGACTAACATCATCCACAAGCTTGTTGTAGCTTTGTTTAAAAGCATATAACTTTTTTTAAAATCACAGATACTCACTTAGGTCAGTGAGTTTTTTTGCATTGCAATGCATAAAATAACTAAAGCAGGCTCAACACTGAGAGTAAAATGTGTAGAACATTAATTCCTCAGGTGAACATATAGCTATGGAAATTCTTTTTCAAACTTTCTACAGCTGGCTAGACTACAGACTAAACTTTTCCAAATCCCAAAGAACCAAGTACAGCATCAGTCATCAGATCAAGTAACTCATTTTAATTCTGGATGCCACGAGGAAAGAAGAGTGTCACAGAGCAAGTTGAGGCATAAGGAAAACGATTGCCCTGATCATAAAACTGTATTTGAAGTCGCTGTGGAAATCCAAGAGGTGGTACTGCATCTGCTCCCGTAACACCAGTAGGTCCTCAAAGGTGAAAGGAGTTTGTTTTTCTGTTAAAAACAGACACACACACACACACACACACACACAAAAACTAGGAATTTACTGTGGCACAGCTTTGATATTGTGAACATTTTGTGCTCTTTATTTAAATACTGTTCCATAATAACATCCAGACTGCACAGTAAAAAGTACACAACAGCATTATCAACTTCACAAGCAGGATGGATTTTACCTTGCACACTGTTGAGAAGACATTCCCATACAAACATAGTGTCCTCTTCAACTTCCTTGTTGTTCGTCCCTTCGTCACTCCAAATGACATCAAAAAGACACCGAAAGGCAGCTCTTGTCAGTGGTCCCTCTGTGTGTGTAAACAGGCACTGAAATGTGTTCCAGTACCTCTCCACAGTTTCCCAAAGTTTGCCACAAGAGTTGATTCCTTGTTTAAACTGCTCAACCATGTTTGCAGTTCTGAAATAAAAATTAACAAATTAAATATTTGCACTAAATGAATAAAAGAAAAAGTTTACAGTGATAATTAGCTAGAAGGATCGCACCAACTAGTCAATCAGAATAAGCCGTTATTAGCACTAAGCAATAATATTAGTCAAAAAATCCTGTCTACTATTTTATCAGGTATTGCTGTGCAATACCTGGAGCACAAAAAACATTAAGTCCTGACAGTACTGGGAATAATACCTGTGAAAGATGAAATGCTTCACAACTTGGGAAAGTATCTGAGGAATGTCATGGACTTTGGCTTCATATACCCCTGGCACACCACAGTCTGCAATCCAGTCACCCAAACCGTCCTGAAGGTTTTTCCATGCCTCCTCAGTTTTGCATTCTTTTATCTAAGAATACAGCAGAAGACAAGGCATAGAAACCAAAACAGAAATTAAGGCTACATTAAATATACAGTGTTTTAGGTTGTTCAACAAAATATTAAAGTACGAGATAAGAAACAAAGTAATACACGGTTCTTTTTCCCCCCTCAAAGTTCATTTCTGTAAAATTTAAAATGAGCTCTAACTTCAAAACAACAAAGCAAAAAATGGCAAAGTGTCAGAATACCTGCTGAAGCTTGTCCTGCACACACTTGTTTGGCAAGATGGAAATATCAAATCCTTCAAGATCTAGAGCCTGACCACACATTAACTGATAAAGGCTGGGATGTAATGCCTTAATGCCTGGTCCCCCATGCAACAGAGACCAGGCAATCAGCTTCCCTCCAGTATAATACTTTCCCTTATCTAGGGATGCCTGATCATAAGAAAAAAAAAAAAGGTTGCCTGGCTGTCCCTCAAAAATGCCCAAAGTGGACTGCACGTCCTTCATTAAAAGCCTACCACAGAGACGAGAGGAAAACTGTTAATATTGTATAAAATGCAACTGGGTCATCTTGTGTCAAACAGTAAGAAAAATGGCAAGGCATATTCTCTCTATCTAACCGTCATTAACGTTGGCTCCACAGTTTATTAGTGCATACCTGAACAAACACCACTGTCACAACCAAGAAGCTTTTAGATAAAACTGTTGGACAATGAAGCACCGATCAGGGTTGGGTCATAAAAATTAGCTGATTTTATTCACCCCATAGAACCGTAGAATTAATTACAAAAGCTGAAAGAATTACACACAGCTACAACTTTGTCTGGATATCAGCATCCACCCAACAATGGTGAGATTTATAACAAAAGGTAAAGAGCAACAGAAAAAAGTTTATTTTATTAGTCCAGAGAGTCTTTGATGCATTGCCCACAGTATTTAGTAAAGTCCTATGCTCATGATGCTCCACAAAGCTGGGATTTATGATGCATTTATGAGCAATTTCCAAAGAAAGACTAGTTTCTGTACAAAAGTCAGATCACTCTTTGATTGATTCATTTTCCAGTCAAAATGGCCATGAAATAAAATCTATTCATTTTTCAGCTTCAAGTCCTAACCACTAAATATGAAATAAAAAAAAATAAAAAAAAAGGATTTAGTGTGTCCACACTTTGCCTTCATACAGCTTCCTTACTTTCAGTTTTTCAAAATTAATAAGCAGTTATATTTTTCCACACCTTCAAAGTACAGTCTTAGAAGCTGGTTTAGCATTTTCTGCTTTTCACAGTCAACGTAATCTGGTCTGGACTCTGGGGGCCAATATTCTGAGAACATCAGCAGCATCTTTGTTTG